GGAGTGTTGGAGCGAGGCCAGAGGATGCTCAGGGGCTGGAGCACCTCCTGTATGAGACAGGCTGAGAAAGTTGGGGCTGTTCAGCCTGGAGAAGAGAAGCTGCTGGAGACCTCAGAGCAGCTTCCAGTGTCTGAAGGGGGCTACAGGGATGCTGGAGAGGGACCTTCATCAGGGACTGGAGTGATAGGACAGGGTAGGGGTGATGGGTTCAAACTGAAACAGGGGAAGTTCAAGTTAGCTCTTAGGCAGAAGTTCTTCCCTGTGAGGGTGCTGAGGCCCTGGCTTAGGTTGCCCAAAGATGCTCAATCCCTGGCACTGTTCCAGGCCAGGTTGGACAGATCCTTGGGTGACATGGTCTGGTGTGAGGTGTCCCTGCCCATGGCAGGGGGGTTGGAACTGGATGATCTTAAGTTCCTTTCCAACTCAGACCATTCTGTGGTTCTAAGTTTAAGCCACTCATAGTTGAGTTGTTAGTACTTGTGTAGCCCCAAGTCTTTATCACTGGAAGCGCGATGGGATCAGCTGCCCTTTAGCTCAAGCAATGGTGTTTTTCTGATGCAAAGCAGCACCCCAGGAAGAGCAAAAGGAGGCAGGTGGCCTTTTTTACCAGAGTGTTTTCATTTTAACTTCAGGTGCATCGATCAAACAAGCCAATAATCTGCAAAGGCTGCAGGAGAACCTTCACGAGCAGCCTGTCGCAAGGGTTGCGGCGCTTCGGCTTTTGCGGCTTGTGCGACAGCTGTACCTGTGTGACCACCACCCACGAGGACTCGATGCCCATCAACCTCAGCCTAATGGAGCAGTCCTCAGAGGGCCAAGAGAAGGGTGATGCTGATAACGACTGGCCTATATATGTGGAGTCTGGAGAGGAAAATGATCCGGCTGATGATGAGGATGCTGATGGTGATGACAAGCAGGAGATCCACAGGAGCTTGTCAGACCGAGAAACACTTATGTAGCAGTGAGAGGAGAGTGGGAGCATTTGAAGTGTCTCTGTGACAGTGGTCGGTCTGTGGCAGAAAACTGAGTATTTGCCCAGTTAGTGAGACTCTGCTGTTTTTTATTATTCCATTTTTTTATTAGAAAAGTGGGGAGAATTGGAATTTTTAATACTTTTCAGTGCTGTGCACCAGAAATCTGTGAAGAATCTGCTGTCTGGGGTTCACAGAGGTTGTACTTGAGCAATCTCCAGTGGTGTCTCTGCCTCCTAGTCTTGATTTTTATGGGTGGAACATCTCTGTGGTGTTTTGATAACAGGTCTCTTCAAATAATGCTGTCACGGTCCTTAGTCCCTGATCTGAAAGGGGGCCCATCTTCTCTCTGAAGATTACATTAAAAGAAATGTGATTTTCACTCACCATCTTGGATCTTTTCTAAACTAAGTTGTGATCCTTCTGTAGTAGGACAGTATTCCCTAAATTGTAAAGGTTAAGTGTTTATTTAGGCTGGATTTGACCTGGAAACCAGGGCAGACACCCAGGAGAACACAACTGTGCTGCTGCTGAGAGCATAGACAGTAAGAATAAACACATTTCTTCTGACCTTAACTTGGCAGGTATTTAGAAAAGAAGCTTTTTCTTCTGCACTGTTTTTACTGCATCTTCCTCTCTCAAAGGGCTCAGACTCCAGAGCTTCAGATGTTGTGTCTGATGTCATTTAGACTTTGGTAGTCTTGGCTTAAGCACACGTTATGGTGGTGTGTGTCCTGGTCTCTCCATTTAGACTAAGTGAATGAACTAAGCCCGATTCTCTTCCGCTTTTTATGGTAGAAGTGGAAAGCTGTCAGTCAGGTCCTGTGGGAGTTGTGGTGGTGGCAGATGAAGGAGCCACATTCACCACTGGTGTAGCTGAGGAGTAGTTAAATATCGATGTCTGAGCTGTGTGTGTGAAGGAGCTCTGATGACCCTTTTTGAAGCTATTGGGTAGGAAGACTCAGAATTTTTGACTAGTCTCTTTGCAAATCCTTTTCTTGCTCTTTTACTCTATTTTCTTTCAGTCTTTGCTCCTTCTCATGGTTTACGTTATTGTGTGAATTTATCCAAGTATTTGTGTTTTGGTTTTGTTTTTTACAAAAACCTCTGGTGTGAACCTCCTGCTTCTTTGCTGGGAGAGATAAAGGTTGGTTTCCAAAGGAGGCGAGATCTTTTTTACCTTTCCAGTAGCAAACTGATAGAAGCTATCCAAGATCAAGCTGGGAAGCTTTAGAAGAAAACACTCCACCACCAGAAAGCCTGTTTGCTTATGGGTAACCTCCTGTTTCCTAACGAAGAGGCAAAACTGAAATATACTGTGAAATAAGACTGTTAATGCTTCTTTACTGTGGTGTTCGTAAGTGTTTCCATGAAAAGGCAAGTTGTAGGAGTCTTTCTAGCTGGAGTAAGTGCTAGATCAGAAGCCTGTGGCTGACTAAGAGTGAGCAGTTCCTCCCACTTAACAAGGCAGTGAATGCTTCCTCAGGTTTTAGTGTAAGGACTTTCCGCTTGCCAAGCCTAAGCCGGAACCTAAAACCCAAAGAGCCCTCTGATCTAAGTAGTTAGAAAGTTTTTTGCACATCTTGTGCTTTCATTTGACATACTGAAAAAGAACAATTCAGCTTCTCTATCTGCTTCATCCTGCAGTGATGTTGCAATTTGCTCGAGGGCAGCGATTCTGGTCTCACAAATGCAGCTGAGAATTCATTGCCAGATGGGGTAGGGTGAGGAGAGAAGAACCAAGCTGCTTTTGAAACAATCACTTTCCCGGTGATTCCTAAAGACAGCAGAAGGTAACAAGACTTGCTTTGAAAGGGTCTGGTCTTGAGTGCCCCCTTCGCAAGGAGATCCTGGCATCACAAGCTGTAATTTCAGTTGCATGAGCTTTCAGTAGCCCCTCTTCCAGGTCATCTGTAAATCTGAGTTTGTAATAGCTGAACAGTGTCATAGTGACACAAGTCATCATAGGAAAATCACTGGGACATCATCTTTAAAACTCGAGGGCTCTATACCCCTGTTTTAGTCATCTAAATCAAGACCATCAAATGCCAGCTCATGTAGACGCCAGAGTTGGAGCCGACCTCCGGTTTCGGGTCCTTGGGGCTTTTGAATATCTGAGCAAAACAGGGGGCTGTAAACCCTGGTGGCACATTGGAACCCCCCTCTCCAGCTGAGCAGGGCTAAACCTTTGGGGTACTACACGATCTTTGTGGAGTCCATCCAACATCGGGGGTATTTTGGGGGTTACCTCCTTAAGGGTGAACTTCTGCATGTGAGAACACCTGGAAAAGAGTCACAGATTATCTGTACTGGGAGACAAACTTGCTAATGGAAGTGGGGTAAGAATGTAAATAGGGATCCAAACTGGTATTTAGTGGCCAGGCATCCCAGTTTCTGTTCATTCTAGCATGAAGGTGCCACCTCATTGTAAATATTGGTAGAAGCTACTAGACATGGACTATTGGTTCCAGCTGGTGCAGCACAAGCTGTTGGGAGATTCAGCTTCTCCCATGGCTGACTCTGAAGCTGAAGACACTCCGAGTAGGGAAAACAAACCTCTTGTGAAAGTCTGTTGTAAGAGCTGCAGGAAGAGACCTTCAGCCCTTTTACTTGAGCTTTCCTTGGTCTTAGAGATCGTTCTTGTGTGTCTTGTGCGTAGAGAATGGCGCTGTGCTGAGGTGTGTGTACCACGGGGAGGGGGTGCGGGTGGGGGGTTCACGTGCCGGGCTGAAGGTGACCACCACGGTGGTGTTTCCTGTTGAACTGTCATGTTGTGCTGCTTCGTTTTCAGTGGAGTCCTTCAGCCTCTGTACTTAGGATGTAGTTTAGCCCCGTTCTTGTGACCGGGTGTTCATGTAAATCTGTTTGCTGTGCTTTCCACTTAGTTTTTTGGATGTTTTTCCTCCAGTCTTTCACTGTAGATCCAACCTCCACAAGCTTTGAGAAAAGGATGTGGCTGGTTTACAATATTCATATGGTGCTTGATGAAGAATCAAAAATAATGGGGTTAGGGAAGTTATTTCTAATATAATCTCTTTCTCAAAGGTTTTTAAAGGCCCTGCTGACTCTGTAGCTTGAAGTCTTGGCTCGGCCTCACTGACTTTGTTTGGGATTATGTGTTTGAATGGACTTTTGCACATAATTGCACTGTATTTCACGAAAGGGATACATGTTGCACTGGTATTTGTGGTGCATTTAACATCTTGGTGCAAGACCTTGTAAATCTTCCAAATGTGGTCATTGAGTTTCCTGCTGTTTTGTAAGGCAGTTTCATAACTGAGGTCCTTTGGTCTAGATGAAATGAGGAATTCTTAGAAACCAAACCTTATTTGTAGAAGTGACTTAACTATTCTGTGGATCTTGGAGCTTTTTGATTGTCTAGAAAATAAAACTCTCCATGAGGGTTGCTTTGGTTTTATTTTTTTACCATTCAAAAGTTGCCTGAGCAAACCTGGGAGTGTCTGGAATAAGGCTCCAGTTTGATTTCCCGGGATGAGGAATGAATATATCCACTTCTGGTGACTGTTTGCAAGCGAGATGCAGATCCTTGGTAGGAAAGGATGAAAAGGAAGCTGTCAACTTACAAACCAGCTGACTTGGGGGGGTGGGGGGGTGTTAAAATATCTTTTATATTAAGAGCACTGGTTCTCTCACCAGTTTTTGTAGTTTTATAATCACCTGAACTTTTAAAACTCTTTTTCAAGCTTTTTATTTTTCATGTTGGGTGAGCCAAAGCCACACAACTGGGCAGCAGCTGGAAGGAAACCCTGTCAAACACCTACAGTAAAATGGGTGCAGGACAGGGAGCAGCCTCCCAAATATTGTGTCAAGATAATTTGGAATTATATTGGATATTTCACAAACTGTGATATTTAAAACCTGGATTTACCTGTTGATTTGGAATATCCTGAATCAAAGGAAAACAGAATAACCCCTTCTTTCTTTTCACTCTTTTCATTCAAGCAGTGAAATCTGTTCACTTCTCTTGGTTTGGGATCTGTAGGTTTATACTTCTTGGTTCAGAAGCACCTGGGAATTCTTCATTTGGTAGTATTAAAGGTTTTTGGATCCAGCTGAAGTTGCCTGTGGAACACCCCTGAACACAGCAACTTCTTTGGGGTTTGGTAGTTGTTATAGGCAGGTTTTTGGATAATCAGAAGTTAAAAAGAAAGAATCAAACCCAACAGCCACCCCCAAAAAGCCCCTCTCAAAATAATGTGCCATACACAGGAGCTGTAAATGCTGTCCCCAGACACCCCAGGGCAATATACTGGAGGCCATCTGTATGTTCTCATCTGTCCCATCCGAACCTGATGTGTGCAACTCGGTTTGCTTTCAGGCTTCCTCTGAATGTCCATCTTTGATGTTTTATTCCTGTTTTAACTCTCCTTTTGCTGTTTACTGAACTTTAAAATGTAGCAGATCATGATTAGGAGCAACAAGTGCTCCAGTACAAGCAAAATAAGGGTACTTCTAAAACCAAAACCAACCAGAGCAGTGTCCAGTGTTAAGCAGATTGTTCTGATGAGGAAGCAGAGTGCCAGAAGGAGGAGCTGATAGGCAGCACTCTGCTTCCACAGGTAGCTGGGGTCACTGGTTCTATGTGGGAAGAAGATGCTCTGAGCTGTGGGTGTCTGTGGTGTCAGCTTTGCAGCACTCACAGCCAGCGTGGGACACGCTCTGGGGGGTGTGTGTGACCCCAGCAGCCTTTTCAGGATCAGTAACTGGATGTTTTCCATGGATCAGTAACAGACGTGCTGGTGCTTTCTCACCTGCCCCACTGGGGGATGTGTGTGAGGGTGGAAGAGAGAAAACCAAATCGAACCAAAGCTGAGAATTCCTGTGCATCACCACCACCACACGTTTACCCTTTGTAAGGGGCGGGGATCAGATCTTTAAGTGCTTTTTGTAATGGTGTTTTTTTCTACAGTGGGGCATTACTGAGTTCATCTTTACTGTATGTTAAGTCCTGTGTACACTATATATGT